ACAGCTCTCGATGGCACGCCGAAGACACCCCATTCTGTCCGCTGCCTGGCCTGTCTCTCATTTGTCCCTGTGCACGAAGCTGACCCTCTGTCTCAAATCTGCTTACACCAATGTAAGGAAACACCAACCTTGGCGCAAGCTGCCCGGAACCAGCAAGCAGGTCTTTTGCTTCCCCCGTGTGCACTAAGAAAATCTCACCTCCACCCAAGCTAACCCACCAGACCCCAAAGGAGCGCAGCCCGCACATCCGTGCTCTGTGACCTGGCAGAATGCCCTCACTCGCTCCCCTGACACCAACGATGAGGAGCAGAAGGACCCAGATGCCAGGGAAAAGGGGAGCCCCTCCGGCAGGTCCACCAGCCCACGAACACCTCCAGGGCAGCCTCCGAAGGCCAAGCTCGGCAGGGCGGTGGAATCGCTGCAGGACAGAACGCGGGTGCGGCCGATTTCTGCCCTCAGGCAGCCGCCAGTCCCACCGGCTGCAGCTGGGTGTAAGGACCTGAGCCAAAGCAGGCTGGGGGCACTGAGCAGGCGGGTCCCCTGTGACAGGGAAAGGCGGGGAAAGACGCTGACATCAGCCAGCCTGGAGGGGCAGACGCCTGCATGGGAAGGGGTCGGCCATTGCCTGTAGGCCTTACATTTAATCTGGAAGCGATGAACAGAAAAGCAACAATTGTTTTTAAGGGGGAAACTGAGACATTTATATCAGTAATGGAAAGGCCCCAAATCTGCACCATTTGATCAAATTTGAAACCTTACAAATACAGTCAATAGTGGCCAAGAACAAGTATCCTCCTCCATGGCAGGAGAAAGATGTGAGGTCCCCAAACACGCACACCTGCAGCGAACACGTGAACTCCATCTCTGCAGGACAGCAACACGAACTGCCAACGCTCTGCCGCTAAGCAGCTGGACAGAGGACGTGATACTTCTGGTTGTTCGCAGCGATCTCACAACAGACCGTCCCCGGGGGGCAGGCGCCGGGCTGGTGGGAGCTGTGAGTGACCAGGAGCTGCGTTTCTAGCCCAGACAGAGCTGAGCTCCAGCGCTGAGGTTGGACCAGCCCAGCCCGTCTCCAGGGGCAGCCTGCTTCTGTGTCGCAAAACCACAAGACGAAATGACCTCATGCAGGTTGAAGCACTTCGCACTCGCTGAGTGCCGACGCTGACAGAGGAGCTGTGTCATGGGATTAGGAGGCCCTCTGCCCCATCTTCCTGAGTCCCTCAAAAGTGGGGTCCAGCCCGGGGACCCCCCTGGGAAAGCGTCCTTACCAGGGGAGCAGGCAGAGCTCTCCCACCCAGGACGAGGCCACTGTGACCTCTCCGGTGCTCCGAGGAGCCACTGGAAGCACTGGCGGCCCAGGGGGAGGCTTGGTCCGCGCCGACCTGCCACCTGGAGCGCTGGCCGGGGGTCCAAGCCCGCCCGGCTGAGTGCGCTGGCTGGGTTATCACTGGCATCTGCCGCTGGGAAGCTCAATCACAATGGGCGATTGCTCATGGAGACTTTATCCGGAAAAGAAGAGCGAGTTTCACTGAACCAGAAAGGCAGTTGACCCGTTTACCTACCCCACCAGCCCAGACAGGCTTTTTCAGGAGGAACCGGAGGGGACACCCAGCCACGCTGCCCACCTCGGGGCCAGGCCTCTCCCCGGCTCTCCTCTGGGCACGGAGGACAGGCCCCCTCCTGGGCCACACGGCACAGCTCGCCACACACCATGGGACGCCCCAGACACCTGCCTGGGTCGAAAGGAAAACCATCAGCGACGCTCCCTCAGACTCCACAGACTGGGGTGGGGGAGGCAGGAGAACGAATCTCTCCAAGTCTGAAATAAAGATATGAAGAAAACACTTTGGCAGTTTGGCAGTGGGCGAGGCAACGTTTTAAAGCAAGACTGAGAACAAAACCCCGCCCCCGCGCCCACACACGGGATGCCAGGCCTGCTCTTCTCGGGGAATCTCCGCAAGCCCTTTCAGCTACCGGACGCGCACGTGCAATCCAGCTGCCTTAGTAGGCGCGTCCCCATCCGGACCCGCTCCCCGTCGCTGTGCAACGAGCCTCCGCCAAAAGATTCTTCCCCTTGACAAGGCCACTCCTCATTCCAACAGCAGAAACTCCTGAGGCTGCCAGAGAACAGGGAAACTTTCCATAAATCATGGCACAGCCAATGCTGGAACAGCACGCCAACATGAGAAATCATGTTTGAAACTTTTCATAACATGGAAAAGCGCTCACGTGACGCCCTAAGAGCGACTCCCACTCCGCGCTGCGCGCACACGGAGGCACGGGAAGCCCGGCCGGGCCGCCTCGAGGCTGTTTCCCTGTCTGCTGGGACAAGCTATTTTCAAACTATTTGCTACGATGGGCATATGCTTTCTTGATGAGAAATGGTTGGTTACATGTTATCGCGGAGAAAGAGTCACGTTTTGCCGCTGCTTCACCCTGACCTGCAAGGTTCACAGGCGCGGGCAGGTGCGCACCTAAGTCGCAGGGTCACTGTGCGGCTCCCGGCGCCCACTCGGCGATCCCACGGGGCCGCTGCAAAGGCACGGCAGTCTCGGCGCCTCCCGGCACGGCCCTCGGACTCGGTGTGAGTGCAGGACCACACCCCACACGGCTGCACTGCACAGCTTTGGCACAGCTCTCTTCTCATACAAAACAAAACAAAAGAATGGCTGTGCTGCCACCACTGAGTGATCCTCTCAATGTCCAAAACATTGAGGACAGAGACATAAATCACAACCATGTCTGGCAACCAGCACAGGGCGGGAGAACACTTCATTACGGCACATGAAGCCCCAGTCCCCAGGCCGGGGCCGCGCGAGGTGCCTGGGGTGACCGCAGACCTGGCTCTCCATCCCAATGACCAAACTCTGAATGACCTCAGTCACACGTTTAGGAGGTCAGTGCCCTGCACCCCTCCCGGAAGCTCCTCCTCCTGCAAACCCCAAAGCGGCCCACACTCCCTCAGGACACCCTGAGGTCACAAACGCAAGAGAACTTCTGCTCAAGTCCTATGCAAATAAGGTGATATCATTGTTGATAATAATGCAAAGAACAGGAAGCCTATTTGAATGATTCTTAAGCCTCATTAAATTAACAACAGCCCTGACAAAAGACATTCCTTTTTCTAACAGAAAGACAATAACCCTGGCAGCAGCAAGACAGACCTGATTCTCAGCCTTACTAAGAGTGACAGGGATTCAGCCAAGAAGGGGACTGAAGTCTCCCATCGTAAAGGCAGATCTCAGGCTCCCCAAACCCATCATCCAGAAACCACTCAGTGTTCCAAAAAAGGAGGAAACCGCATCCTCTTTCTAGAAAGTCCAATCGCCCTGCTGGGCGCACTCGGACCCCAGAGCCGGGCTTCCAGGCTGGGAAAGGACAACGAGACATCTGAGTCTCACTCGGCTGCAGGCTGCGTCTACGCAGCCACGGGGGCCCTTGGCCAGGTGCATTCAGTAGGCACTTGGCACGGACTCTCAAAGTGTTTCATCAGACTCCTGTGGATGCTGCAGAGAGACAAGTGACAGAGGCACAGTGCCACCTCACAGAGCTCGGCTTCCAAAGGGACGCTTCTGCCCCGGCCCCGGCCCCAGCCCCGGACCGGCAGCACCCTGTGCAGGGCCACGGCCTCCTGCAGCCCCTGCCTCTGGAGGAGTTCTGGACGCATCTCCCACTGCCAGGAGCGTGGCCAGGTGCGCGGAGAGCCGGGCCCCACAGAGCGCCGGAGCACCGCTCAGATCCTCCCTGTGGACACCACCGGCCAATCGGCAGCCTGCCTGGCCTCTGTTCGCGTCCACGGAGCTGCCAAAGGGAATCAGCACCGTGACATTCACCTTCTCTGCCTAAGTGGCCAAGCGTCCACCGAGATGCCCTGGGGTTAGCAGAGCAGGATGCGTGCAGCCACAGCAAAGCCCTCCCATGGCTGAGGCCCTCACACTAAAGATGGAGAGGGGCTGGCAGGTGAGAGCCTGCAGCCAGACTCTGGGATGCACTTCTGCCAGGCCTCCCTCAACAGGGTCCCTACTGGCCCTTGGCCCGGACAGTCCTGGGTTACGGGCAACCCACCCCGCAGGCCTTTCACCATCACTGGCAAAAAGGGACGAGAAGGGAAGGCTGCCGCACAGCCCCTGTTCCGCACTTTCTGGTCTCCCAGGCAGACCTTGGCAGGACCAAGTCGGTAAAGCAAGGAGACGATCCAGAAGCAGAGCCCAGAGAGAACACCAGCCCAGGAGAGGCAGGCTCTTCCTCCCCTCTGCTGGGGGTCACGGTCTGGCCTGATGTGCAGGAAGAGTGGCAGGCTTCCAGGAACAGGATGGTGAGCCCCTCAGGCTGAGGGACACCACCCCCCTACCCCCCGTGGGGCTCTCCTAATTCGGCCTGGACTTGTGCAGAAAACCCTCTGTGGAGACCAGCCTGCACACAGGGGCAGGGACAGCACACTGTCTGCCTGCAGCCGGAGCTGCCTCTCAGCAAAGGACTCAGCTCAGCTGTTCCACTGGGGCCCTGAATGGAGCAAAGACGCGAAGCAAGCGGCCCTGCCCCTCCTAAACACGCTGGCCAGAGCCGCACCCCCAGCAGCGGCACTTCTCAAAACAGGTCTTCAACGTCGCCCAGCAAGACGCTCCGCAGTGACCTGGTAAGCTGTCACGGTCCGGTGTCACCAACCCCTCCAGCTGCCCCCAAGGCATCGGCTGGGTCGGGTCACTCTGGCGACCCAGGATGCGACCACGTCTGGCCACTTTCTCACGGGAGAGACTCTGCTGACCATCTTCCCCGGCAAGGCTGGCGGCGCGCTGACCCGGCCCTCGGCCTCCCCCGGGCTCTCGCCCGGCCTTGCAGGGTAAGAAGCCCCGCGGTGTTCACTCGGCGGGGCAGCCGCGTGCCACAACCCGGCGCGTGTGTAAACACGCGCACACACCCGCGCGCGCCCACCCCGCCGCGCCGGGGGCGCCCGCTCCCCCGCGCTCTCCAGAAACCCCGCGACGGCCGGCCCTCACCTTCGATGGCGATGACGTGCTCCCGGATCTGATTCTGCAGCACCGGCTCGTCCACGCGCTCCAGCAGCTCGTAGATGGAGTAGATGTTGGGATGGACCGACTCGAAGCGCTGGATCTCGGCCCGGATGGCAGCCGAGTTGGCCAGCTGCTGCTGGTAGTTCATGGTGCAGGCGCCGCGCCCGGAGCCGCGCGCCCCCCGCCGCCGCCGCCGCCCCGCGCCCCGGGGCCCGCGGGCCGCTGAGCCCGGGGCGCCGCAGCCCCCGGGGAGCCGGGCCCGCCGGCGGCGGGCGGAGGAGGCGCGAGAAGAAAGGAGCGGGCGGAGCAGGCGCGGGGCCGGCCCGCGGACTCAGTTCATGGCCGGGACGCGCGGCCGGCGAGCGAGCGGGCCCCGGCGCCCCGGGTCAGCGGGCCCCCATGGAGCGCGCCGCGGCAGGCGCGGCCGGCCCCTGAGGAGGCTCGCTCGGGCGCCTTCCTGCGCCGCAGCCGCTTCCACCCCTAGGCGCTGCCCCTCCGAGCAGCCATTAAAGCCCAGGCAGCCGCCGCGCTCCGAGCGCCGGGGCCGAGGGCCGGCCCCCGGGCAGTGGCCGCGCCGCTCCGGGCGCCGGGCCGCGGCGTGGGTCCGCGCGCTGCGTGCTGTGCCGTCCGATGCGCCGAGGCCGCCGTGCGCCGCCCGCTGAGCCGGGGATCGAGCCGCAGGCGCCGTGCTAGCCGCGGAGCCCGCTCCCAGTGCCGCTCGCCGCCTGCCCGGCCGGCCCCCTCCCTGGCACGCAGGGCTCTGGCCCACGTCGGCCCCGCCCCCGCCCCGCCCGCCCGCGCGCTCTCCGCCCTCCGGCCGCCGCCGCCGCCACTGCCGCTGCCGTTACCGCCGCTGCGTCCTCCGCGGCGCTTCCCAGCGCGCCGGATCCCGGGGAATTGCGCCAGGCCCCGCCCCGCGCCGGCCCTGGGCTTCCTGGGACTTGTAGTCCGCGCCGCGTCTTTCCCTGGCGGGGACCGCGAGGAAGGGACGCGCGGCTCGGCGCTAGTTTTCCCCGGCGCAGCCGGGCCTGGCGCGGCCCGGCTCCTTCCCGAACCCTCTCTGCGGGCGCCTGCCCAGCCCCGCCCCGCGGATCCCTGTGCTGCCCTGCGGGCCCTCGCGCCACGGGACCCGGGAGGCACTGCGCGACCCCGCCTGCCGCGTTTTTATTTGTTTCCCAGCGGCTGACCCGAGCAGGCTTTGCGACTTGCCAGTGTACCCCGGTGGCAGTATGTTGCCCACCCCTGTCTTTTAACTTGCTGCCTCCTTTTCCGAAAGTAACATGAATGCTCCCGCGGGGCTGTGGGTGTTCACACTCTATGAGTGAACTGAAGTTCAAACAAGGATGAGAACTAGGTGCGATGAAATACCACGGAGACTACCGAGGTATCCTTTTCCTTTAAAAAACAAAAATGAGACACAGGTACCAAGCCGCAGCCTCTAGAGCGCTACCGTCTGCTACGCGTGGATCCCCAGCCCCGCGCCTGTGCGCCCCGAACCCAATCCCTGCGCAGCTCAGCCCCGGGGGACCCCGCGGAGCTGGACTAGCTGCGCATAGACCAGCTAGCCTAGACCTGCTGAGGCTTCCCCCGGTCCGCATGCAGCCTGCGTGACTGGCTTATGCACCCGGGTACCCAGCCTGTTGGGTTACAGTTTCTGGGCTCACAGTTCCCCAAACAAAGCTGCCTAACGTCTTCAGCGTGAGGGGCCTTTGCGTCCCCCTCCCCATTCCCAAACCCCAGCCAGCCACGTTCATCCCTTCTGCTTTGCACTGATCCTAAGTAACTGCAATAATTGAAAGGCCTGTGGGTGGCCTCCTTTTCTGGAGCCCACCAGCAGTCATTGATCCCTCCACCTCTTTGAAAGCCCTGCCTTGACTGCTGGGGGTAACACGTTCTCCAGGCTTTTTGGCTCCGGGTCCCGTTACGATTCCTACTTCCTTACTCTTTCAGGCGGAAGGGCCCAGGTGGCTCATCCTTGGACCTCTTCTCTTTTCCATAAGGTACGCGAGGAGCTCTGCTTTTGACTTTGACTATCATAATCAGGTTATGGACCTCAAATTTATATCTCCAACCCAGACCTCACCCTCAAATAACAAATTCATACTTAACTGCCTCCTCACCATCTCTTGAATGACACGCAATTTAAACCCAACAAGGCTCAAGCTCCTTCTGACACACCTACCAAGAGCCTCTTGACCACCATGTTGTGAGGAAGCCCGAGCCACATGGACAGGCTGCGTAGGAATAAAAGATCTTTCAGAGGGACTGCAGCGTTCAAGCTCAAGACTTTGGACCGACGCTCCAGACAATCGAGTGAGATAACCTGCTCTCTCTGGGCCTTGTCTGAATTCCTGACTCATCGAAACTCAGAGACATAATAAAAGATTGCTGCTTTAAGCTGCTCTCCTTTAGACTAAGTTGTTCTACTGTAATAGATATTGATAGACAGGGGTCCTTGAACTCTGTGAAAAGGTATCAGTATTGTGGGATGTGGGGGAGAGTACATGCATGTGGCATCTTTGCTTCTTGATTCATTATTTATCGAGTATTTATCCTGAACGAGGGACCCCTTGAGAAAGGGTCCAGTTCCCACCCTGGTTCTCTGTGCTGTCTCCAGGCAGCCTTATCTGATGGCCGTGACCCATCTTCCGAGACACATTTTTGAGTTTACTATTTCTGCCACAAACTCAGTGGCTTAAGCCACATAAACGTATTACCCTCTAACTCTGTGGGTCAGATGCCTGGCACGGTCTCAGCAGGCTAAACTCAAGCCGCGACCACATTCCTTTCTGCTAGATCTGCGTGGGACTCCTCTCTGTACCCTCTCAGCTTCCTGGGGCTCCTTGGTTTGTGGCTCCTTCTTCCATCTAGAGCACAGCCAGCAGAGGTGGGCTGAGTGTTTCTCGCCTCCCGTCACTCGGACGCCCTCCTTTGCCTCTTTTGCCCACTTTTTAGAACACTTGTGATCCTATTAACCCCACCCAGATAATCCAGGAGAATCTCCCCATTCCCAGGTCATCTGATTAGTAACCTTAATTCCGCCTGCCCCCTTCCTTCCCCTTTTTCATGGAAGGGAACATGTCCACAGGTTGCAGGCGTTAGGACACAGACATCTTTGAAGGGTGGAGACATTATTCTGCCCAGAACACATCAGTAAACTCTGCCACCATCCCACATGTATTTACTGTTGTCGAGAGTAAAGGTAGTTGCCTTTGCAGCTACCCCCGTGTCTGACTGGAAACGTTTTCAAAAGAAATATTGGGCTGCCAGAATCCGCCTTAGGCCCAGCCCCACGACTCCTTCAGGCCACTCTCCCACGCCCGTGCCAGGTAGCCATTGGGAACTTTGTGTCAACAGAAACCCTGGGTCCTTTCAAGCACCGAAGAGACAACTGAGGCCCCACAGGTGAAGTCACTGATCTGACCTGCATCATTGGGTAGAGAGAGACCGACCCAGGGGCAGAACTGAGCCTAGGAAAACCACCAAGTCCTGACATGTGCAAGGGTGAGACTCAATCTGGTTCCAGACCCACCAGGCTGGGGGTGTCCGGGAGCCCGGGGCAGAGGGGAGCGCTGCCCCAGCGCAGAAACGCCGCTGCTCCGCCGCCCCACCCGCCCTTGCCTGCTAGGAAGAGCCACACAACTGTTGCCCTCGAATGTTTCTGCCTAGCCAGCTGCTGCTACATTTTCCTTTTTTCCAAGTGAAGGTAAAAGGCAGAGCTGCCTTCCGCTCCTAGCAACCTCCTCAAGCCGCCTTCCGTGCGCACCGTGAGAACACCGGCCCATGCTGCTCCTACGCCGGGGCATGAAAATACACCTGCAACCTGCACCCGACCCCGGCTTTGCAGCCGTGTGGGAGGTGGGTGTTCACGCAGACACACGCTGGCACGATCGTGTAAGTCACTGTGTGCCAGGTGCGAATCGCATGATGATTCTGCGTGGACGCGTGCTTCTCTCATAAGATGGAAGCTTAATTTGCTTATACATGCTCTGTGAGCCGACAAGAAAGCTGGTTTTAGACACAGAGCTTTGGATGATGGACAAATGAGACATTGAGAAACCAGATGCAAATGAGGAGTTTACAGACACTTTTGAAATTATATAATCGTCCCTCAGATCATGTGAAAACCAAGGAATGATCTAGAACGCATGCACCGAGGCAGCCAGAGGGGGGTTTCTGTAATACTTACCACATTCATCTCTTCTCCTCACACTGGGCACGTAGTTTTGAAAGCACCTTTATACTTGAGCTTTTTGTTCGTTTTATAAATTATCTGCTACAATATCTTTGGAGTTTTGTTAAACTTTAGGATTGACTACATTTGGGAAACTGTGTTTTAATACCCTCTGAATGTAGACAAAAGAACAGGAACCAAAAATGGCTGTTCTGTTCTTCAATTTTCGCTTGGTTTCTAAATATAAATTCAGTTTAAATATTTATCCAATTGCCGCCAAGCACTTGGCTAGCAACCTCCTTATCTCCTTTAACCTTCTGAGACCCTGCTTGGCAGGTCGGGGAGGCGGTGATTTGCCCAAGGCTACCGCCTGAAGCTACACACCCCGAATTTAAAGCCCAGCTTTCTATTTTCTGAGCGCGAGCACGCGTGCCTTCCATTCTAAGTGCAGTGTCTCTCCTAATTTTAAAAACACACGGGATATCTCATTAGCGTGGTCCCGGGACATGTCCTGTGGTAGGGAAGACAAGCCCATTGCAAACACGCCTGGTCCCCGGCTGTCGCGGCCATCGCGGCCGTCGCGCTGCTCCCTGACCCTCGAAGGGCTCCTCTCCCGCCCTGACCTCACTCCCTCCTCGTCTCACCAGGCACTGCTTCTGGACTGCAAGGCGACATTTCGCTACGCGGCGACCCGGCCTGCAGACTGTGCTGGAGAAGGGGAATGTGTTTCCGCGTGCGGCCTCTGTCACCCTCAGCAGAGAGTGCGGGCCAGGCCCGGGCACGTGCCGCCTGGGATCGGGGCACACTGGCAAACGGCCCGCGGGCCGGCTCCATGTACGGTGCCGGGGCATAAGGTGGCCTTCAGAAGGGGAGCAGCGGCCGGTCGTTCAGATGCGCCGCCTCCTAGACTTAGAGCAGAGGCCGTCAAGCTGTGTTCTTGGGAGGTCGGGGGCAGGCCCACCGGAGGACAGATGGGGGTGAGGGCGCTGGGCTCTCTCGCCTCCCCTCCGCTCCTGTCCTGCCTCCTCTACCTCAAAGCTCCCCTTTTTACCTTCATACATGAGATTCCCCATGAGCTTCACTTTGGGGAAATTAAGAAGCAGAAGGCACCGGCATGGAGCGTAAAATACTTCCCAGGCACCTCACTGCTTTCTGGGCCCATGACACTCCTTCATCACCGTTCAAGGTTGTTGCCAGCTGGGGGCATCTCCGTGCTGTCCCTCAGGGGTGACGTGGGCAGAGGGGGCATTGTGATAAGACCCCCGCCCTCTGCTCTCCTGTTTGACACCTCCCTCCATGCACGGGGTGCGGGGAGAGAGAGGCTGTCAGAACGACAGGCCGGGGCTGGCCACCTGGAGCCGGCACGCTAACTCCCCCCAGCTCCCCGCCACGGCCGGTTTCCATAAGGCCTGTGAGGTAAGAATTATTTTTGC